AAGACCAAACTTGGGTATATATTCCAAAGCATTCTTAAATTACAACCATTTAAGTTTGAATAGTGTATTTTAACCTCCATTCTCAAAGGTTGGGGGGACAGACAGCAAAGGGGTTGAGTGAATAATTGTGAATAAGTAAATCATTTGTCTAGTCCCTATGCAAGTTAACAAATGAGAAACATTTCTAACAAAGTCCATGGAAAAAAGAAAAAAGAAATCTGTGACCAAAGGTTTCTAACAAATGGAACCATGATATTAAGTGAAAATTATTCAGGCTGTTGAAAAGTAAAAAGGCATCATATTCTAACGAATGCAAATTGGAGATGATATCGAGTCTCTCATGCTGCAAGGGTTATGCCTCCAAACCGTAAACGAGAGCGATGGAGAAGGATGTAAGGAGGAAGGAAGGGATGGAAAGAGCGGGTAAAGGAAGGAAGGAGGGGGAGGAGGAGAGGGAAATTCATTAGGTGTGGTGAAGTGTACCATTCTCATCAAGAGAGAGCTCATTTTAACTCCATAATGAGCCTGAGATTAGGGGCTGAGGGGGGTTGTGCCTGGTGACCGACTGCTGACTTCATCACTTGCTGTGATGCTAAAAATAAATGCACCGAGGCAGTAGGGAGTCTTTTTTTTATTATGTAGTAATAATAAAGATGCACCTTTTTGTCAGAAACACTTTATGGCTGGGATCTGACTGTGATTATCAGGCATCAGGGCATATCGTTTTCAGTTCCCTTGCATACCTGTCCACCTGGGCAATGTAATTAAGGGGTGTTTAAGACACCTTTCAGACCGGAGTTGTTTGTTTACTATTATAGTTTTTTTTATTAATTTTAGTTTTTATTAGATTTCATTAGACACAGCTTTCAGCTAAATACTTTTTATGCGTGGTGGCCGTTTATTTACACGACAATTGAATTTTGGGGGCCTGCACTGTACAAAAATATTTTCATGATTTGTAATCACAACATTTTTTATTTATGTAGTTCAGATAACATCATATTTGGAGTTTCTGGTGATCAAATTAATCTCCTTCATTGTATTAACTCAATTTTTCCATTTCAATGAACTTAAAATTTTAAAGCGACCAGGTTACTTATTTTTTTAAGTTAAACCAACAATATTTTTTACAGTGTGAAAAACTTTTGAAAACAGGTTTCAAAGTGCAAATTTTTGAAAACGATACTATGTAAATGTCCCAGCGTTATCTACAAAAACGGTGACATCACGCGCATGGTGTTTAGTCTACAGACGCGTATAGTGTTTCTTTACAAAATAACATCGCTAACACACTGTAAAAAATATTTTCATGATTTGTAATCACAACATGTTTTCTTTTGTCAAATCAACTTAAATAATTTACATAGTTCAGATAGCATAATATTTTGAGTTTCTGATGATTAATTTAAATCGATCTCCTTCATTGTATTAACTCAATGTTTTCATTTCAATGAACCTAAAATTTTAAGGCAACCAGGTTATTTCATTTTTGAAGTTAAACCAATAATATTTTGATACTGAATAATACAACGCTTTAGTAGTTTTTTCACAAATCCGTGTATGGTGTCGTGTAAACAGACCCTTAATTTATTTTTATTTCAGTTGTAGTTTTACTTTTGTATTTCAAATGAAACGTATTTCTGCAGTTAGTTTCCAAGAGAGCATTTCTAATTTTAGTTTAAGCTTTATGGCCTTTATATTTTATCTCAGCTTTATTTCAGTAACTGAAAACAATTTTGAATAGCTTTAGTTTTAATTTATCTTAATAATGCTGATTCAGACAACTCGACGTAAATGTTTGCACGTGTGTGAAGATTCAGAATAACATAATCCATGACGAAATGTGCACTAGTAATTACATTTACTTACAGAGAGCAAGAGAGAGACTTTTCGCCTTGGCTCTGACCTGAATCTCCTTTCTACCCACAATCCTCAGGGCTGTGGTGTATGTGTGTGAGTCAGACAATGTGAAGAGACCTCTGATTCATGAGTAGGCAAACACTTGCGCACACGCCTTGTGCGCTCATAATGTGTGCTTGTGACACACAAACTCACAAATCTCCAGGATACAGAGTGACACACTTGCTTTCTGAGGACACTTTTGATGTGGATGATGATGGATGTGTCGAGGGCAGCTTCATTTCTGTTGCTGTTCTCACAAACACTTGCATGCACACGCGCATTTCAGGTAAAACCTTGGGCACAGAATAAATGAACAGTGCTTAGTGCTTGCTATTAAAGCAATCTTTCTCTCTTCATCAAAGAGATTTTCAAGAACATATAGTAAAGGAGCGATAAGATATAGAGCAATATGTTAGAATATCTTGCAGTTCACGTTTGAATAAAACCCATTCCTGATTCATTGAGTATTAATCACCTCATTGCAGTACACAAGATCCAGGGAGCGGAGTCGGATCCAGATCTGAGGGGTGGAGCTGGGTAGGTTTAGATAAAAGTAAGGTGGGAGGAGTTGGATCTGGATTTCATGTTCTCCAGTGAGGACCATCTTTTAATGCTGAGTTTTGGAAAAAAAAAAGAGATAGCACGCCATCTAGTGGTAATAAGTACAAACTGTGACCTTAATAACTACATTATGCGGAGGGCAAAGAAGCTTTAACTTGAACTGCCTATTTGACCAAATGGTTGAGTACATTTTGAGTCACTATATTTGATTGAGAGGAGTACCTAACTTAACTCAAACTGATTGAACCATCTCTACAATCTAGTTGAGGTATGTTATGCCTAAAAAAATCCACTAGATGTCACACTGTCAATCAACAACACTTGTCACAACACTTCTTAACATGGATGTCAGAAACAAACAAATCACTCCTGCCATGTGAACTGTTTTTGTTAAGATTTTGCAAGGTAAGCATATTTTTTTGACGTTTTGCACTTTAGGAGCCCTAACTTTACAAAATTATGTTACTTGGTGCCATGAAAAAAAATTATGTTTTAATAGTTTTTCAAAAACATGCTCAACCAAATGGTTGATTTGGCACATAAAGGTACTATTCAAACTTAAATAGTTGTAATTCAAGAATGCTATATAGACCTAAGTTTTGTCTTGTTTAAAACAGATTATTGCTGAAGTTAAAGCACTTCAAAAAATGAAAGTATGAATCAGTTATGGAAGTTTAAATTTACAGTAAATCAAATATACCATACTAAATTTTTTCTTTTATGTAAAATATATATTTTACAATATATATATTTTTTTTACTATAAAATTACTATAAAATCAAAGCCAACCAAGTTGTGTTCCAAATTTGAAGTTCAAAAATTGATTTCCTGTTAAAATGAAAACCTGAAATATTTTATGGCATAATTCAACAAATAAAAAAGATTCAATTTACAAAAATATTCTATTTTGATTTTGTTTTTAAATAAATTAGTATTATAGTTCATATTTTCATAATATGCCTATGAATTCTGGTACTTTTTTTTAAGTGACATATCAACCATTTGGTAGAGGCCGATATTAAAAAATGATGGGATGTGTTGAAAAAATATACATTGAGTGTGTTTACTAGCGACATAAGGAGATAAGGAATGCAAAAAAAAAAAATGTTTTCAAATGCCTTTTTCTTGCTGTGGCTTAAAGTAAAAATACTTAATGAATCATATATGCAACAATAATATAATAACAAATAGTCAGCTTATGACTTTATGAACAAGATGTTTGTCTCTCAACTGGTTGTCTTATCTGTATTCTGCAAGGCATATTTACAAAACAAAATGATAAGTTAACAAAACAAAACTCCTATGTTTGTAATGTATGTGCTGTATTAGCCTATTGTTATTTCATAACAGTCACAATTTATTATACACAGTGGGAAAAAAGCTAAACATCTCATCTAAATAAGACATTAAAATGCACATTTAGGAACTACACAGTTAGAGTAAGGTCAAATTTCTGTTATGGTCCTCCTTACCCCCGGCTCATGTCACTCCAAAGCGCACGTCCAAGCTCTTCTGCGGCTGTCATTCTCCACAAACGTGTCATAAAACCGCTGTATTAAGCTCCTCTAAAGTCATATGATATAGCTTTGTGTTAGAAACCGGCTAAAATTTAAGTCTTTATTTGCAAAAAAACATCAGCTTCTCTCGTCCAGCTTCCGTATGTTTAAACCTGGCGCGTCATGAGCTGCACGAGAACAAATTAAATTTGAGCATGTTTTCTTTCGCCTCGCCTACTTCTCCTAATATGGCATCAAGACTGTTGTTGCAAAAAGAAGCAAAATAAATCTTTCACTCATTTGTTATTTCCAGTATACACCATTTTGCAAGACGTAAACAACACTGGTCCAGAAGCACTTCCTGTTTCAGTTTTTTAACACTACATAAAAGCTGGGATAAAATACAACCAACAGAACATTACAAAACTGAATCAAAAAGTTAAATAAACATCTTTAAGATGTTTTCTTTACATGTGAAATAAAGAACTACAAGTGACAAACTGAAACAGGAAGTGTTTCTGGACCAGTATTGTTTACATCTTGCAAAATGGTTTATAGAGAATGAATGTTTTCCACTCAGAATGCAGACAACACACAATGGCAGAAAACTACCCAGGTAGGCCCAACGTCTGTTTGCTACCTGGGTAGTTTAGGGAGCTATTTCGGACGCAAAACTTATTTGGATGAGATAAACTAAGTTTTCTTAATCTTCGAAACAGCCATGTTATTGTAGCTTCCATCAGGCAATAGTTTTTTTTTTTTTTTTTGTATGCAAAAATCGAACTAAATAACTAACAAATGTAGTCCAATGATCTAAAAATGTAAAGCAACTGGAATGTATAAAAATTGCCTACTCGAGTAATTATTGTGATTATTTAAAAAATGAGACCGTAAAGTAAACTACATGATGTGATAACCTCACCTCTCATCAAACACAATACGAGAGTCAACAACATTCACAGATAGGCTACAAGTGTCCTCGAAATACTGCCAAAAACACATCACAGAAAATAAACAAATAATCCACCCACGACCACCCTGAAATTATAGAGGAAATATTTATTTAGACAACCAAATGCATGCCAGAAACACCAATTTTACATAACTGACAGCTCCCTTCTCCTCCCTTGCTTCACCAGCCAGCTCCAAATCAACTCCATCTGGGGCAGGGAGTGGACGGGAGAGCCATCTGGTGGATATACCTCTGTATCGCATTGAAACGACAATTGCAGAAAAGTTGGGGGAAACCTGTATGAGTGAAAAGACTATGGACCTATAATACATAAAAAGGGACAGAGTACGTGTAGATGGAGTAATCTTTGCAAACGGCAAAAATATTATTCACATCTCGTCCATCTTGCATGGCACAGAAATGAGCTCTCGCACGACACACACCGACAATAAAAATAAAGATGCACAGAGGCAGAATTCACATGCAGTGTGTTCTCCACGGCATCCGAACCCACACATTTTTTAAAAGGAGATTCACAGCTAATCATTGGACGTGATTTATCATTTCTTGTTAGTTTTGCACAATGAATGAAGTTAATAAAAGAAAAAACGAAAGATAACCTCAAGAGACCGAAAAAAAAAGCCCCATCTGCTAACACGTAACAAGAATCTTAGCCTAAAAACAAAGAATTGGTCCGTCTATGGGTACTGCGGCCCGTCAGCCACTTTTACAACTGAATAGAAAAAAATATCAAAAATAAACGCAACCCTTTGAACAATAAACAATAACCAGCAATAAATAATCAAGTGGTGTTCCGCTGTATATATGTACATATACTAGGGTCACTCAGCATTCAGCCTAACATAGACCGAATTGGCGAATGAATGACGTAAACGTATGAAATATGAGTAATAATAATTTAGAAATACACTACAGACATTATGGAAATATCGAAAAAAGATGTTCTTTCATTTTTACGCAACCGACACTTAGAACGATCAACTACACGGCTGTAATCCGCAGAGAGTTTGACTATGCAACTGGTTTGGAAGAGCTTATTCATTCAACTCATGCACGTTGTTTTTGAAACCTACATTTTGGGAGAAATGGTCACCACAGTTAGACCTTTTTTTTAGTCAGTCAGGCCCACTTGATTATCTGAAACAACACGAACATCAAAAACGCTTCTGAGGATCAGAGGTCAGACAAGCTGTTACTAAGACATGCCTTATTTTCACCTTTGACCAATTGTGTCCATAATTACTTAGTGTTGTTCTATGTACAGTACAATGCTTGCTCATATATTACAGTCTTTACAAATCAGAGCAACTGGCTTCCAGTTTTCCAGGTGCCAAATTCTTTTCCACAATCACAGACCGCATTTTGTCACCTCGACAAATGAGTTTCCTTTGACACCAAATGCATCTTCTTTTCCCGTTGGCACTATCCCTTTTAATCAAGGTTTTTTGGCAAACGACTGTCTCAGAAATGCGTGCTTCGATGAAAACTATCACGTGTCTGACGTCGGATCTGAAACACTAGTAGTGTAAGAGGTCTTTGCTGTCACATCACAACAACAAAGAGAATGTGCTTTCCCTGGTGAACGGGACATGGTGACATGAGCAGGATTCCAGTTGAGTTCACCGTTTTTGAGTTTTGTGCAATCGATTATGGCCGCACTGCACGCATGTCTGTTGTATGAGTGACGGATGCAGATGTTTACAAGTGTATGTCGTCGACTGAGTGTGCGTCTCACACGCTGCGCGGTGGTCTCTGCTGTTCGTGGGTCCTGCGGTTGCGCCCCCTCTTGTTCTCCTGGAGCTGTTTCCACTTGGCTGTGTTAGGAGGTCCTCTCTGAGGGGTCTGGGTTCCTCTTTTGCCCTGGTTCAGCTGTGCTCTTTGGCTCTCGGGAGCACTCTGGACCTTCTGCTGCGTGTCCGGTTTGGTGCTTTGGATCTCTGTGCTCATAGTACTTCCCGGGACTTGACTTCTCTGCAAGCCGGTGGACTTGGGAAGAATCTGAACACTCGGGTTGTTCGGCACTTTGGGTGTGTTTTGGGCTCTCTGCGTTGGGTTTTGTGAGTTTTGAGCCATCGTTTGAGAGGTTTTCTCTGTTTTTATACCCACACTTGCTCCGGTATTGACTTTGGGGGCTTTTTTACCCTTTGGCTTCTTCTCTCGCTTCCAAACCCGCTCGCAGAACTCGTCCACACTGTTGAGATCTGGGTGTTCCAGCAGGCTCATGAAATCCCGGTACCAGAGTTTGTGTTTTGGGGAGGGATCCTTATCGTTGGCTCCCGCCCGGAGAAGCAGCTCACCCACGCGCTGAGATGGGATGACCTGGAGATTGATACGCCTCAAGGGCTGGATGAAGCCGTGCTCCACGGCGTGGCAGAGGTACACTCCTGAATCGGCTTGGGTTAGACTTCGGATCAGTAAACCTTGGACCGTCAGACTCACCCTTTCATCAATCACAATCTGACATGGAGAAAAAGAGATTGAGTTAGGACTGCTGTTTTTGTAAAAAATGGTCCCAGACCAGGACTTAAATGCTAAGGGTCACATATGGGGTGCGTGGATAAACTACAGCACAGTTTGGGGATTTTCTTACACAGCAGGAAGGCTGAAATTTGACCGTTATTATATTAACGTGTTGGCCGTCTGGGGTGAGGTGTTACTTTAGCGCTATTTTTTGCCTGATCATATCTGAAAGAGAAACACAGCTGGTGTATGTGTGTGGTGTTGGGTGGTAAAGGAGGGTCATTATGTCATTTCCTGTTCATTAAAATCCCTTACTTTACTAGTCACAACATTCCCCTTCACATTTGTAAAACAGCAACATTTTACTTAATATATATATATATATATATATATATATAAAGAAATATTTTTAGTCAGCAGGGACTTTAAATTGATCAAAAGTGACTTGACTTGATATTTCCATTTTGAAATAAATGCTATACTATTCATCAAAGAATCCTGAAAAAATATATTATGGTTACACAAAAATATTAGGCAGCCCTTACTGTTTTCAACATTGTTAATACAAAAAAAAAAATGTTTTTTGAGCAGCAAATCATCAACATTTTAAAATGTATTAAAATAGAAAACAGTTATTTTGATCAAATAAATGCAGTCTTGGTGAGATCATAACACAACAATGACTCAACCAATGGCGTGAGCTGGGGGGCGGAGCTTTCCATTTGGCCAAGCAATAGCAGACCTAAGTGATTCCATTTGCCAAAGCTTGTGACACAGAAATTATCTTTAAAATGCATTTTTTACAATGAAAATTAAAAATAATATTTCGGTATTCATAAATAATGACCGCTGTATTAGATAGACTAGAAAGAATATAGCAATAACCTTTAAAGTAATCCAACAAGCAGTGTTATACTGTTAAAACTGTTAGACTGCCAATAACAGGGAGCTTGTAATGTAATATGTGAGGAATCTGGAAACTGACCACAGCCAGATAAACTGAAAAAACGGTTCAAATATACATTTACAAACTAGACAGTGACATATATTCGAAATGCAATATTAGATTACAATGATAACACATCATTTAAGTGTTAAGGCTTATGTTCTTGTTATTAAGTGCATATGCATGTACCTCATGTTTCCGCTCGTCGTTGGGTCTCTGTAGCTGCCAGTAGATTAGAGCTCTCTGAGACTTTGGGCTGCATTCCAGAAACATACTGCTGTTCTCTACACCATACACACTTCTCTCCTCCACACTGCTGTAACCTTCCAGATCATCTAACACACACACACACAGACACATGAGGAGGTAATGTTCAGTAATGCCCAGAGAACTGAAATAGAAGAATGTATCAGTGGCATCTGCACAAATGAAAGATTATAGAGCATAAATTCTTCTCAAAGGACCTTCATTGTTCAGATTTAATTCTAACATGTTGTTGATCACCTGTATTAAAGGGTACAATTTATTTCATTGAATTATTAGGAACAATTGTAGTAGGTCACAATATTCAGTACATTCGATTATAAAAGATGTGTAAGATTAAATGTATCTTAGGCCAAGCATTGTCTATGTTTTTTTTTTTTCCTTGAATTTGTGACATTTTAAATTATTTATTGATTATGCGTGATCGGGAATAAATATCCAGAGATGCCACTGCTATGTAGTACATGTACTGTGTTTATTCTTACCATTATGTTGCAGATCAGAACACTGGGAAAGAGGATCCCCATTTCTGATGTCCTGACGTCTTGTTCTCCTGTTAAATAAAATGATTGAATGAGACACCTGTGATGTGATGTAGATCTTCCCAGCCATCAAAAATATGTTCTAAGATCGTTTTGCTAACATACCCATTAAGTTCAAAATCATAACTTTTATCTTTGAACGTTCACATAATTGTTTCTTGGTCAAACTTTCCATTTAACATTCTATAAACATAATGGGATTGTGACTTTTGAATGTTCGCTGTACTTTGAATGAACATTTTGTTAATATTACAGATTAGGGACTTTCCCTGTTGGCTCTAAAACACAAAAATTAAGTGTTTATCACTTGCAACACTACTACACTCAGGCCACTAGAGCGCACTGTTGTTTCAAACACCGACATCTTACCATATTGCCCTCTAGACTTAAACATGATGTGTGATTTTTTTTTTTTTTTTAGATGGTAGAATACTCTATACTATTCCAGGTTAATGCACAGAGACAATAATTGATCTATTTGTGTGTAAAACAATGTTCCTCCAACATTGGCCAACATGGCAACACTGATTCATTCAATCCAATCGGTTTGTCATCACAAAGACAGATGGGGAAAGTGTTTCCATGACAGAAATTTAGGTGCATGAAGGAAAGACATGCACTTTATGTGTTATATACAGTAGTGTATATGTATATATATCAAATATATGTTCTTCAAATATATTGTAACAGCAGCTCTGCACATCATTCTCATCTAAAAGAGTCTTTCATTCTCCATTATAGCATTTACAACCACTTTAAGAGAGAAGCTTCACCTCTTAATTGCTAACATTCACTCATATCCATTCACAACTGTACTGAAAGGCTGAGAAGATTTCCTGAAGACATTCAGAATCGGGTGTGAAGGATGCCTATGGCTGAGGTTTAGCAGCAGTGAATCTTGGAGAATGATAAGTGAAATATGAAAACCTGCTGAGATTCTGTGCAAAACGTGTTTGAAACAGCCTTGTTGTCATTTCCCCATTCTTAGTTTTCTTTTCCTGTTCTGTTTTTGTATTTCAGTGTACAGCTCTCTATGTCTCCTCGTTTTTGTAACATATTTTGCTAAGGCGTGCACACACACACACACATACACACACACATTCCTTGACTCTGGCTGTCTCGGCACGTGCGGGAGGTGCGGTAAGGACGTCTGTTTTGCATTTTAGGCACAGTGAAAATATTTGGAGTGGCGTGGACCATCCTGGTGCCACAAGGGTGTGTCGAGACCAAAGCCATTGCCCTCTTCTTCCTCTGCGAAGGTGTAGCTGGCACAGATAGTGTGTGTGTTTTACTATAAATATATTAACAGAGGTACATGGTGTATTGTGAGTATGTGTTTAAAGTGTGTTTAAAAGCAGCGTGAATACTTGTATCCAGCTGTTTGTGCTTGTCTATGCATGTGTGTTGTGATGCAGAATTTACAGTGCACTTAACACCTGAACAGTGAATATGGTGCCATAATTTGTGCTAAAATGTCACTGACTTAGAGTAAGTTCACCGAAAAAAGATGTTTTGTCATTTACTTGCCTAAATATATAAAAAAATGTCTCAAAAAAGTCCAATGGGATTGTTTTGGACCCCTTTGACTTTCATTGTATGGACAAAAACAGTTATTCAAAATCTCTTGAGTCTCATTTGGAATGACACAAGGGTAAGTAAATAATGAGGGTGAACTGTCCCTTTAAGAACATGTAATTTGATCCAGATTCTAAAATAAAAGCACTAAAATATTGAAGAAATTCATCAATATGTGCTTACCTCTTAGCAGTGGGAAAATATCGAGAGCATTCGGTCCCGTCCCAGGCACAATACGGATCTCTTGCCAGGCAACACTCGGCACAGGCCTTCCCGTAGACCTCACAGCGGTGCAGGGGCATCTGGGAAATCCCTAAATCTGACCCGAGGTACAGCTGTTGCTGTTGACAGATGAACATATAAGTCTATTAGGACACGGTTTACTCTCTGCTAATGGCTGGTGAAGAGTAAATTTCAAGCAGACGTACTTGTTTAGTGGAGAGCTCCATGGCAGTTATAGGTGTTGGTTCCTAAAAGAGAAAACAGAGCATTTTAAGATCCGAGAATATTTGTTTGATGACACGCTGTGACTGTGCAGACAGATTTATGGGAGAGCAATTCAATGTACTGAGGTGAAAATTATAGTTGGAGGATTACAATTCCAATAACAAGCAGAAACACACAGCTCTCTGGGTAATGAACAGTTGGAGCTCATACCCTAAACACTGTCATCTCTTCCAGCACCACTTCTTCCAGATCATGCCAGCTTTCCCTGGGAATGGTCACCACCTTCAACACAGTTCCTAAATCTGATTTGGGATTAAAATATAGAATATTATCATTTTTTTATACAATATCTCTTAGTAATTGTAACTTGTAAATATTTCACATGGGTCTGAAACAACATGAGTGTGAATATATTTTTTTAAATAAAAAACATTTCTAGGTTTGTGTGAACTAAGGGAGCTCAACATATATTCAAGGGGACATCAAAATTGCTTAACTTATTTTAAAACCAGAAAATGCAACCACTAAATTGCACTATAAGCTAAAACAATTAAAACTCAAGATATTCCTTATTTTAGTTAAACCTAGTTTATATAATAGAATGTGTCATATGCGCTCTGTGTGAATGACTCGCAAGAGTAGAGTGATTTGTTGTATTAAGGCTTTAATTTAAGTTATATTTCAGTATTGACGGCGTGTTGGTTGGTTTTACTAGCCTGTGCCGATGAACATGACTTCGTACTGGCCGTCCTCAGCTTCCACACGGTCCACTACCAGCTGAGTGAACTGGTACTCCACGTTTGTGCGCACAACTATGGGCTTCCCACCCATCGGTTGCACAGGGTTATACATGGCTGGGTGCAGGCGTGCAAATGTTATTACATCATCGGGAAGGTCTTTGGTGGAGTCAAAACCTCCGAACGTTTTGCTGGGACACTACAGTGGGTAAGAGAGGGGAGATGAAGGGTTAAACTTTCTCACTGATGCTGAGGTTCAGGTCTCAGTATGGAATTCTGAATAATGTAGTGTGGTTTTAGTTATTTATTTTTGAAGTGTTATTAAAAAACGTGTTTATTGTATGAAAAGTGTTTTCTTCCAAATAGGCTAATAAAGTACATTTTGCCATTTATTTATGATTATTTTGTATAATTATTTGACAAAAATGCACAGATATGAAGCTGTAATTTGTCAGAAAACATAAAAAAAAAAAAAATTCAATGCCAAATATTTTGGCCAGTACTCACTGTGCCAGGACGGGGGTATGGCACTCTGCCCTGGAAGGGAACCCACTGGTAGTTTGGCCCGTCCCTGTGGGCATATGGACCTAGAAATACCCTTCGGATGTCTGCCATACTATACATGCATATAGCTGATCCTCGGAAGATATTACTGAGGAAAGAAGAGGGAAAAAACGGAGGTTAAATCATTTATTTAACACAAAAGCTTACATTTCCAGAAGCGTGTATATGAGAAGTGATTTATCCATTTTAATTCAACAAGAAAAATGTTGGGAAGGACCAATGTTTGCATGGATTTTATGGATCAGAAATTTATTAAAATTGAAAATAGAGCTTTATGAATGACAGGTGGTCTCTATCTGACAGGTGGTTGTTCAAGAGGAGATGAAAAATATGAGGGCTTGGCATCTGAAAAAGCAAGTTTTTTATATATTTTGATGAAAGATCATAAAGACAAATGTAAAATATGTCAGGCAGAAACCTTGTACTGTATCTCCAAATTTTGTCTTTTTGCATTTTTTTTTCATTCAAATCATTACTATTGTTCACACTTTATGTCTGTCTATGGATTTTGCTAATATTTAACAAATTAAAATTTTCTTTACTCAAGATGAAACACTATATATGTAAAGACTAATGTATTATGTATGTGAGAAGCAGAGAAGAGTGTCTCGAGTTAGTCTAGAGTTGTTGTCGAGTTATAGCAAATATGGTCTTAAATATGCGTAGAACTAATAACATGAGATTGAGTACCCAGAAAGCTACAGTATAATAAACTCTATAACCTGTAAGTTGATGAAAGCGTCAGATGCGGCTGTTCTAATGACCGACAAAACAAGCATAAAAAAAAACATTGTAACTCCATTTAAGCTTGATTTTGGTAAAACATTAATGATAATGAATGACACATGAAAGTGTCTGACCATATATGAAGCCACAATATCACCTTTAATCACCTTTGACAACACAGTGTTTAAATATGTAAAAAAATACAGTGTTTTCTCCATTTCATGAAAAGTAGCAATTTTGGACATTCAAGGTTTCAGCCCGACATTGACGATAAGAGAAAAGTCTTAAAATAAATCGAGCACAATAAGATCAAAAACGGTTGATTCTGATGTCATGCATACTTTAATGTGCATTTGCAGATGTACAAAATTAGCATTTGTATTGCAGTGTATATGTGTGTATCCAAGCTGTTATTCCTCCTATACAGCCATGAAACCAAACACACTGTGGTGGATCAGCCCTTAGCATTTGTAAAATGTTAATTAGTGAGAAAATCAATTAACCACAGGGCACATGAATAAACTAATTCCCTATCACTCAGTCAGGGTCCCAGACATAAAAACACACACACATATACATGTGCTTTCACACTCTTAACACACATACACAACCAGATAGAGCGAGAGATAAAATACTGATCCATCAGCGCAGAGTTCAGGCCTCATTAAGTGGCAATATTAAAAGCAAGTTCCTAGAATGCACTTCTATTCATCTCAGAAACAGGGCACTTAGAAAACCAATTAAAGCAGTCTAATTCTTTAAAGCCCGTAATTGAATTTTTGAGTGTTGTGTTCCCTGCATACATTAGGAAATCAGCGAGTTGGGAACACATGAGCAGGATGTGCATGGATGGTCGCTTTTGCCTCTCGCGCTTTTTGACAGTGATTAATTGTGATATGTTTGTCTTCTTCCTCATCTCATGTTTACATGCACGCACACCTCCGTACACACATACACAGCGTGCTCATCCATCATCTTAAAAGTCTTCCCCTTTTTTGAAAATCGTTTATCTGCTCTGTTACTGCCCTCACCCCTCCCCAGCCCTCCGCTTCTCGCCAGCAGGCCCAGAGAAGAGTGTGGCTGGCTGGGGAGAGAGATTCAGGTTACCACCTTAATCATATTTCCACTGAGCTTAAGCTGAATGGGGAAAAAGGTAAGAGGGGGCAAAGACCAGGATAAGAAAGAAATTCCCATCCAGAGTGCAGCGATGTGAAGCGTTTGTCTGAGTTTAACCAGATTACCGAACTGCAAAGCTTCTAAAGCGCCAAACAAATCATGCATCCCAAAATCACAGCCATCTCATAAAAGAGAAGAGAAAATAAGAAGGAAAAAAGAAAGGGAGAAAGAAAAACCGTGAAGGAAAGAAGGAAGGAAATAAATAAAATAAAAAGAAAGGGAGGAAAAGAAAAGGGAAAAGGGAGAGGAGGGAAGGAGCAAGGATGGAAGGGAGGAAGGAAGGAAAAACAATGGAATTAAATAAGGAAAAGAAAAAAGCTGGGAAGGAAGGAAGGAAGGAAGGGAAGAAGGAAGGAGGGAAGGAAGGGAAAGAAGGAAGGAAGGAAGGGAGGGAGGGAAGGAAGGAAGGAAGGAAGGGAGGAAGGGAGGGAGGGAAGCCAGGAGGGAAGGAAGGAAGGAAGGAAGGGAAGAAGGAAGGAGGGAAGGAAGGAAGGAAGGAAGGAAGGAAGGAAGGGAGGGAGGGAGGGAAGGAAGGAAGGAAGAGAGGGAAGGAAGCCAGGAGGGAAGGAAGGAAGGAAGGAAGGGAGGAAGGGAGGGAGGGAAGCCAGGAGGGAAGGAAGGAAGGAAGGAAGGGAGGAAGGGAGGGAGGAAGCGGAAGGAAGGAAGGAAGGAAGGGAGGGAAGCCAGGAGGGAAGGAAGGAAGGAAGGAAGGAAGGAAGGGAGGAAGGGAGGGAAGCCAGGAGGGAAGGAAGGAAGGAAGGAAGGAAGGAAGGGAGGGAGGGAAGCCAGGAGGGAAGGAAGGAAGGAAGGAAGGAAGGGAAGAAGGAAGGAAAGAGGGAAGGAAGGAAGGAAGGAAGGGAGGGAAGGAAGCCAGGAGGGAAGGAAGGAAGGAAGGAAGGAAGGGAGGAAGGGAGGGAGGGAAGCCAGGAGGGAAGGAAGGAAGGAAGGAAGGGAAGAAGGAAGGAGGGAAGGAAGGAAGGAAGGAAGGAAGGAAGGAAGGGAGGGAAGGAAGCCAGGAGGGAAGGAAGGAAGGAAGGAAGGGGGGAAGGAAGGAAGGAATCAAGGAGGGAAGGAAGGAAGGAAGGGAGGGAGGGAAGGAAGGAAGGAAGGAAGGAAGAGAGGGAGGGAGGGAGGAAAGGAAGGAAGGAAGGGAAAGGAAAGAAGGAAGGAAGGAAGGAAGGAAGGGAGGAAGAGCAAAGGAAGGAAAAGAAAGGAAAAATAAAAAGAAAGGAAGGAAAAGAAAGGGAAAAAAGGAAAGAAGGGAATGATGGAAGGGAGGAAGGAAGGAAGAAAAAAACAATGGAAATAAATAAGGAAAAGAAAAAACTAATAAAATAAAGGAATAAGAAGAAAAGGAAAGGAAATAAGTAGGAAAGGAAAGAAAATCCGATGTAACTTCCTAAGAAATATCTGTTTAGGTTAATTAAATGTATGTCTGCATTACCTGGATGTAGTAAAGACAGCGTAGATCACTGGATTCTTTGGGTCTTTAGCACTCATCAGAAACACGTCCTCTGGAAGTTAAATAAAAAAAAAATTGAGTTATTAAAATGTACATTAAACTTTACAGACAGCATCTGGAATGTAGCAATGGAAATGTATGTGCCAATTGTTGTAAGTTTGCCGCACTTCCCTTCAAGTGTTTTACAGGTAATTTACCCACAACATTCATAGACATACTTACGCAGCTCGTCAAAATGTGTGTCTATGCCATTGAGACCGGGCACTGAGCAGGTCAGCTTGGCTTTCAAGAAGGTCGTCCATTTGTTCACGAGACTCCTGTGTCCGCCCATGTCATTCTAGAAAACATGCAAGCAGATGAGCCACATGTTCTTAAATAAAGTTGAAAACATTAGCATATGAGAACACTGTGTGTACAAAGGCACAGGAAACGTTTGCTTATCCATTCTGTAGGTGATGATACCTTACACAGTTGTCCTATCCTGGAGATAGTAGCTTTGCCTGTATGTTCACCATCCATGGCATTCTCTTTGAAGAACAGGAAGATCTTGTCATCTTCAGGATTATCGCTCTCTGGGATCAGGTGGATTCCTAGAAACCTGGGGTCTGGAATACACACACACACACAATGCATCAGAACTTCAGTTTCATAGAACTGAAAGAAGATCCAGAAGGAGTTGAGCTGTTTAAATCAGGGAAGTTCAAACACACAGAAATGATTGCATACTTCATTAGCTTTTCCTAAATGAGCCAAGTCCTCAGTACCGCCAGTTACAGGGGGATCACTCTTACCCAGCTGTGACCACTCACTCGCTCTCAGAAATGAAACGTAACACGTCCCCCACCCACGCGGGCGGCACACGCACACGGCGACATGCAGTGCTGCATTACATTGCAACAGACCCATCAGAATGTGAAGTTTAAACAGCGGAACAAACATTTACAGAAGACCGACTGCATTCATGCACAGTAAGTGTGTATGTGCCCGTAGAGACGCCAATGAAACAGTTACACCCCGTCATTCGATACACTGACTGCTTCCCAAAGATATTCAACTTGTTCCAGCCTTCCAAACTTTCTCTAACCGAATGTTTGCTCTATAAAGACTGATCCTCTTTAAAGTTCAGGAAGAATAACCATCAACAGCCATTGGCCACTTTGTCTGAGAGGCCCGTGTCTCTATTGATAAGGGCTTGATAGAATATCCATGTGACTAATCCTCTAAACGACACTGGCTCTTTTGTACGAGAGAGAGAGCTTTCAGTGCAGGCGAAATGGAAGTAACGTCCAATGTATCCGTGGTAACAGACAGCGAGGATTAAGGTGAGATGAGCGTTTTCCAAAGCACCTTTCCTAGAGAATATAGGGGGGTATTGATGGCGTGGACGTTGACCCTGTACGAGGGGTGAAACGAGAGCCACTCGCAGGAACAGCTGAGACAGGATTAACTTCATGGGAAAACCCTGACTGGCTCTCCTATCTTGATATTGACCTTTTGTGTCCATAAGTCTGCAAAAATGCAGGCGGGATGTTAGAGGAAACACTCAACACCCCGGCCGAGCTAATCTCTCCTGCAGACGTTCACAAAGAGTTTCTTTCTTTCTCTCACACATACACACTCACGTGCAGGGACATAAACTCAAGCACACAAAAGAAAAACCCATAAATTTACATTTATTTCACACATTTGCCCTTGGCAGACACATGCTTAGCAAAGTAACATATACTGTGTGTGATGACTTTAGCAGCAAGTTATGGATTGAAATTGAGCACTAGGACAAAAATCAAAGTCTATAAAAATGCACAGACACATATATGCAAGCACTTGTATATGCAGTGTCTATGCAAACTGACTTGAGTTTGAACAACAGCTCAGTTAGAAAGAGAACGGCATGTCTAATACTGTATTTCATATCACGGTATGAATTCAAAGCAGAATTATCTGTTGTGGATTTACAAGCAGCACACAGCAATGTTATTTCACTCCTGAATGAATCAATGTTGTTGAACAAAATGGTTACGTGACGAATTCAGTGACTCACTCATAAAGACAATCACTTGATTCATTAGCATTTTTGAACAAATCAATTGAATGAATATCTCAGTGACTCACTCAAAGATAGTCACTTCCCGAGTTAATAATTAAATTAATACTCAGTCATAGCACAGTAACGTTATTCATCACAAAACTAACAAAAATGTTGTCCAGTCAGAATATTTACCATTCAGCCATCTGGAATCATGCTGCTCAGTTCTGATTGGATGATGTGACCCAAGTGTTCGGAAAATGGCAAAGTCTCGCCCCATGAAGTCTGCTGATGTTCCAGAATACAGTTCTCCATCTGACAAATAGAGTATGAAATCTCCAATCAGACCAAAGATAACTGAATCTAACATGTTAAAAACAAAACAACAACATCTCTGATTGGCTCACCGATCAGGAGGGATGAGGACTGCATCTTTGGATCATAGGGACTTTTCCCACGTCCATTATCTAAGTAGCTGGCATCCAGTCTAAAGATGTTGTCCTGTGGAAAGGGATAATGAATTAACCAACCAAAGCAAGGCATGAATAGTAATTGTGTGAGGTAATGGAGAGGTGAAAGTCAAAAAGTGCCATTAGGATCTTGTTCAGGAGACACAAGTCTCTCAATATTAAAAAGAAAGTTACAGTTTTGGAAGAAAAAACACAAAATCCTTCAACTCCTACTTTAGATTTGGATCTCTCTAAACTCATGCAAAAAAGAACAGCACTCAGCTTTTCTTGTGTTACGTCGAGGCGTTCAGTGCACTTGGGCCATGATTAATTTGTGTGGATCAAATGGTGAAATTCAATGACATTTTTCCACCATGTAAAGGCCATCTCATTTCCCACAGTTGAGGCACTTCTAAATAACACACTCGCTGCTTTGTGACACTCTCATTTTCTACTTCACTGGGCTGAAATTGTTAACAGGTTAAATCATCAATTTCCTTTTCATTCCTTTAAACAGTTTGGTGAATGTGCCTTTGAGAGATGTACCATATGCACATGAGTACATGAGCATGTTTTAATGCTGAGATTCAATAAAAGAAAGTTATTGATGTAGAGTGTGTGTGTGTGTGTGTGTGTGCTGTGTACCTCTGCTCTTTTCCCCATCTCCAGGTAAGAACAGATAGGATGGAAGGCTCCAGTCCCACATATGTAAATATGCGTCTGGTTATACGACTGCAGCACACGCACAAAGTTTGTGCATTCTTTCTGAAAAAGGCATAACAAAAAAAAATATGTGTTAACCAACCAGATATTAAAAAAAAAAATCACCAAACAAACATTTGTTTTGCTAAATATACATTTGAGTATATACATATATACACTCTGTGTATATACACACAACAAAATATACCACGTTACAAGTTTTCTTGTAAAACACTTTGCAAATACAATAATATCTCACTTTCAGACTCACTGGCTCTTTATAACTCCTCTAATGCAGTTATGTTACATTGATAACTTATGATGAAAGATTATACTGCAAGTACATTTTGAGAATGCTTCTAAATTGACATGAGATCTGTAACAAATAGGTTAACAAGAGATTTAAATTCTATGTAAGCCTAATATTTAAGCTTTTCATGTCATTAAAATGCCTTTGAGTTCCTGCTGGTTGACTGATGGCGATCCCACCTGTTATATCCATCTCAATATCCTGTCAGCCAACTCTCATTAGTGCTAAAAGTGTTAGTGTGTGTCTGGTTTTGATGAAAGGGAAATGTATAGCACATGTCTTTGGCCCATCTTTGTGAGTTGGCGCAAGCCGATGAGTGAATTGTTTCATGTGAATGAATGCTCTTTAATTCCCTTTCAATTGCAAAATATGCGAGGGCTAGGTTCAACAATAATAAACCCAAACGTTATAAACATAGTGCAGGCACAAACACACACCTATGCACGCGCACACACCTTTCCACAGCTATTGAGAAAATAAAACAGGTCCATCTGTGTAAACACTGATGGTCTCGGGCCGATGTGTGCTGTCTGAACGTGAGTTGTCATTAAAGAGCACAGAAAAGGGTGTTGCCATCTCAGCACAAAAAGACACTTTTATTCACTGTACGCATGTGTGTGTGTGTGTGATGAAAGCAAAACAGAAGAATAGATAAATGCAGGCCTGTTTCCAGTTCAGTTTGTACAGGCTTTTCAAAGCACATAATAAATGCTTGTATAGCAGTCCGCATCAGCAGATTTTGTGGCAACACATTCGGTTCTCTTATAAAACCAAAGACCTACCTCACCTGCAACTTCCACACGGCAGCCAATCAGATCACTCCCTCGCACATATGTGTGACCCATCTCTGTCAACCCACACAAAGGAACTTTAGTGTTTCAGTGTAATGGCTTTTCTAAGCTAAAGGAAATGTGTATATTCCTAACATAATCATTCCATGTGTGCAATAAAATGAATCTCTTCCTGCACCGGGCGGAATGTTTCCCATGGCCATTATTGTTTTTAAGGCCCTCGCCTGCTCCGATAGAGCCAAGTACAGCATTAACGTGAGATAGAGGTGGCTGATCTGGCACTCTTTGCAGTTTACTATGTATACAAACCTCAAGTTGTAATAACTGGGTGGTGTACTGAAATTACAGTGTAACTACTGTGTAATTAGACACATATAACCCTGCTGTTTTATCTTCAAGGTCCATAAAGAAGCGGCCGAAGCTGTGACGCAGAGAAGTGAGCGTTCCTTTATAAGAGTGAGAGATATATGATACCCTTTCAGTGTTGGAGATTATGCTTTAGACACATCTGCAATTATATGCAATACTAACAACACAGTAGTGACTAATTTCATTCACACATGAGTGAAGTCATGAAAAGATAATAACAGTAGAGTGCTTGTCAATGTCAAAACTAATGCACAGTTTTTAAAAAGTACAGACTGATTCACCCTGGCAAACATAATGAAATATTTCCTTTTCTAACGAACTTTTCTAATGAATTCAGAATAATTTATTGTAAGAATTTAGACTATAAAATGCATAAGTTCCAAACAATACAGTTTGGTAAATGGCAAAGCAAATTTCAAGATATCAAGATATAATTACATAATGTAGACAATTAATATACAAAAGAGACTGACTTAACTTACTGTATCTAATCATTGTGATTCTACGGCACAATGTTCATACTGTATATCAGTCATATTTGCTCTGAAGACATATTCAGTCGGCATTTAATTATAATAATTAGTAGAGCAACTACTGGGAAATTACTATGAAAATCCAGCAACTAGTAGCCAGGAATATACCGTAAATTCACAGTAAAAAAAATTGTGTACAGTATCTTTGTCATCTGATCACAACCTCACCAATTGTTTGCAAATTATGTATTTAAATGTATAATATTGAGACTTGAATGAACAGTAATGAAATGAGCTGCCGAGATGTTTAACCCTCATCTCACATGAAACACAGCAAGAGTTTAGACCGAGCAGCGAGGAAGTTGTACCAGCTGCCGTTCTGGGCTTGTTTTTGCCTCGTCTTGCCAAGCCAAATGTGAGAATGAAGAGCTTTATGTTTGCCGAGAGGGAAATGCACTGGTAATACCCTAATCAAGCTTTCAACAACTCTGTATCCAGAATAAACATTTTCACAGCACGCAAATGCCATTATTCTGAACCGGTGAATTAGTGTGTGTGGGTAACGCCAAATAAACCCCTCACAGCCAGTGCCAAAAGCTGAGATACATTCAGAATGCATGTGGTAGACATGTGATTTCTGCACCTCATTGCAATATCAGGTGACTTTATTTAAGGCTGTACGTCTCAGAAGTAGGTCTGGTGAGTTATCTGTAATAATCCCGCTCCCCTTCTGCCCCCCATCTCAGAGGGAACCCAGCCGTGAAATTACCATCAGATACAACACACACATACAGAGGGAGAGAGAGCCGGGTTGATAAATAAACCATTTCTGTTGTATAGAAAGGCCAAGGGTTGCTGGAGCCAAACACAGAATATACAACTCTCAAGAGGAACAAAAGAACGTGCGCACAAGCAAAACTCCATTGCTAACAGCAACCGTGATCAATCAAGCCAAAGCGCACATGCAACACCCGGCCTGAGTAATGCAGGTCATGAGGCGCAAATACACTGAAGGTTCTTCAGTGAACACTTTCTTATCATGAACCATTCGTCAAGTTCATGTTGCTTTGGAGATTAATAAAAGGTTCTTGACATTGGGTGTCCAAATCAGTGTATTCGAGCTATGGGCTTAGTTAAAATCAACAAAATTTAAACCCATTTTGTCTGCAGATTTTGGTAAAAAATAAAATGTAGAATTCAGAGTATTTTTCCAACATTTATTTATACACTACCATACTAAAGTTTTTTTTTAAAGGTTACTATCACAGTTATAAAGAATAATAAAAAATAGTAACATTACAAAATATTATTACAGTTTAAAATAATTTTTTTTTAACTCTTTCCCTGCCATTAACAGAATTATCCGGCTTTCCGTGTTTTCAGTAGGTGGTAATTACACAACTCCTAAAAGAGTAGATTAAAACACTGGCAAAAAAGGAGCAGAAACAAGCAATAAGAGTATTGCTATATGCATGTTGTATTCTTTGGGGGAATACACCTGATTTTCTCAACTTTTTTTTTCTAAATTTTGCTTTTTCTATAAAACTTAAAAAAGGAAAGCATGAAGCTAGAATAAAAGTTGTTTTTTTGTTTTTAAAGAAGAAGCTCTGTTCTTTTTATACAGTATATTGCATGTTCAGATATTCATACAACAAAATATACTGGTGGCCATGAAAGTTAATATATTTATAAGTATAATATATATATATATATATATATATATATATATATATATATATATATATATATATATATATATATATATATATATATATATTAATATAGAGGGGAAAGAGTTAATATATTTTAAAAATTATTTATTCCTGTTATTTTCAGTAGCCATCACCCCATTGTTCAGTGTCACATGATCCTTATAATATGCTGATTTCATTGACACTCAAAAAACATTTCTAATTAATATCAATGTTGAAAACATTTGTGCTGCTTAATATTTTCTTGGAAATTTACTATAATTTAGGATTCTTTCATAAATCGAAAGTTCAAAAGAACCGAATTTATTTGAAATAACATATTTTTGTAACATAAATCATCTCCCTAACCCCAAACTTTTAAATGGTAGTGTATTTTAAAATATTTTTTAAAAGTGAGTGACATCCCAAATATACCCACACATTCACTGGGGTTCGATGTAGTTTTGAGGTAAAAGGAAGTTGTCGTCCCACACTTACCACAAGGTCTTTTCCAGCCCACTTGCATTCATCACGTTTGGAAGGTGTGGCAGGCCAGGCGATCTATAAAACAGTGAAAGAGAGAAGGTGTGAGAATGTGTGCGGAGCGAACACAATGAACTGCAAATGACTGACTAAGGCGCTCGGCATGAAACCTGGCTGTAAAATAATCAACGACTGCTGCCTGCCTTCCTTCTGCCACCTCCATCTGTGACGACGACGAAGACAGAGGATAAAAACTACCATTCCCCTTATCCTGCGAGCACATAGAAAGTTTTTCATCCTGCCTTATCTTCCTCTGAGATCTGCTAAGGTATTCAGTATGCGAAAGTAATTTGATAAATTAAGATAATTTGCCAAGTTCGTATCTTTAAACGATGGCACTGCTGAAGTATGCATGTTTGTGTGAGTGTTCAATAAAAGCCAGCTTTAACCCTTACTAGGACTGAATATAAAGCAAATGGTCTGCAGCCTCCAGGACAAAGAAAGAATAAAATCGTGAGAAAGAAAGAGGAAATCAAAGTAATGGAATCCAGAGAGAGGAACAAAGAGCGATTGAGAAGAGAGAGAGAGAAAGAGAAGCATTACGCTGCAGATATGATCTGGGAATGAAAAACAGAGAGAGGCAGGCTGAGATCAAATGGGCAGATGGAAAGAAGGGGAAAGTCGACTCAGATCTGGGCTGTGCAGTTATTAGGAGCGAGATGGACGTCTCTGATGAGCCTGGGTTTCAATGACACACTCCATAAAATCTCTCACTGATCTTTCTTTCTAAATGTAGACAGGAGGAAACAGCATGAATTATGATTCCCAACCTGAGCTTGATATTAACTTTTTTGCTCACTAGTGGTTTTCCAAAGTTACAAGCCCCTCAGCATTCTCACTATCCACAATTTTGACATCGATACCATAAAGAAAACTGCCATATAGATATTTTTAATATTTTCTCATAATTTGGCAAAACTTTCAGACACATGCGCTTTCTTTCTCAAATGTTTATGTTCACTTAAAATAAAACTGACTGAGTTTTCGTGAACAGGCATTTCCATATTAAGCTGAATATACGTTTGCTTTAAAAAACTGGCTGAATTTAAAAGACAGCTGAAATTTAGACGATTAATACTGTTTAACATTATTCTAAAAAGGAAATTGTTTTGATGCAGATTTTGATTGACTCATTTGATTATGAAGACAAACTGTGTTGGTTGAAATAACATGCCCAGATGAACCATTCACAATAAATCCAGGAACATAAAATTCATTCATATGGACTTTAAGGTGACATAAGCCCCTTTCACAAAGTGCGGTGATCCCGGGAAATTGGCGGGAAATTGGCAGAATGCCTTCTGTGTGAACGACCTGGGATTGATACCGGCATCGATGCAAGGTTGGGGACCAAGTAACATTGCCGGGATCAGTCTCGGAACGCGCGCTGTGTGAACAAAAGCCAGGACCAATACCGTAATTGGTGTGTCATAGTGATGACGCTTGTGCCATCGCGCGACTCTGTTGCTCTTACAAGAAAGTTTGTGTTCGTCATCAACAAAGAAAGGACAAACAAATGTCTGCAAACTGGAACGAATTGGAGATCGTCACTTTCCGCGCTGAAGCTGAGATTGTTCACCAGCTTTGTGGAACAAACGTGTGCATGTTTTCGAACGCGTACGTTACACGTCTCATCCTGACGTCATGTGTCTTTCCGGGATCTTTCCGGGTTGTGTGTGAACGCACTCACAGATCCCGGCAAATCACTGGCAGTGTGAATGAACCGAAATCAAACAATCCCGGGAAAAATCCAAGGTCACATTATCCGTGTATTTTCCGGAATCTCTGTGTGAAAGGGGCTCTAGAGTTGTGTGTCACCTGTTTGACATCTCTGTTGATGTTGACCAGGTCAAAAGAGAAGACATGATCCTCCGCTCCAACCAGTAATCTCCCTCTTTCCTCATCCATCAAGAACGTGTCGTAACCTGAACTGTTTGCCAATCCGGTGAAAGTCACTAGATTACTGGATTCCAGCATTTCTGAAAGAGAGAACAAGAAAAAGAAGGCAAACTTAAGTCTAAAAAGAAAAACAGGTTGCATTCATATTTCCTTCAGTTCAGTAAATAGCATGTGACATTTTAGTGGAAAGTTCAACAAGTAGGTCACAAAATGTACACCTGCATTAAAAATCATTTGCAGCATCATTGAGAAACAACACTAGTCATGTGTTTAGTTACACTTTCTTTAAAATCACCTCAATGGTTAGTGGACCGCATCTGTATCTTTTCAACCATAGCATGAAAATTGCTGAAGAAAACGCAATCACAAGGATCTAATCTGAACCACGTAATCATACATGGCTGGATAACCAACACTTTATGTGTGTGCACTGGGTTTAAGGTGGTAACAGGACAGTTCTAGCATTTGCCACTTTATCTACATCTGTAGTCTATATTAAGACAGAGGGCCTGCTTACATTTGTGTGTATAAAAACTGTGCAACATCACAGTACAAGAATCCGATCGACTGACGTACAGTAGTTTGCCAAGAACTACGTCTTTCAGCACCAGCACTAAAAGTCTCCTTTAAATACAGGTGTGTCTGACTTATTTGCACAATTATTCGGAGTAAATCCACAATACACTCACAAACGACCACACACAGTTTGTTCGATTGAGCGAGCAAATTAGTACCGCTTTATTTGGAATCTTAATAAGTCGGGTCAGAGGTATAACTAATCAAGTAAAATTGCTTTTGTTTTGGCTGTTTTGTTGATAGACAGAGCCAAAGAAACTATCTGTTCAACAGCACTAGACCAGACACTGTGAAAATATAATGACCCAAGACGCCAAATCTGCCAAATTTGTCACTCTCCCAGTGAGCAATGAAACAAGGTTGGATAAAAGTAAGGGGAGGGAAATCCAAGTGAAGAGGAGATGAAGTGAGAATGATAAGGAAGAGGTGAAAGAGAGAAATGAGTTTGGAAAAGAGCTTGCAGGAGCCACTGGCCAGAGCATCTGCTCATGGGAGAGGGTGAGGTCAACATCTCTGCAACGTTTCTGCAACAAGCACACGAATCATAATCAACAGTGACATGCAAAGACTGCAGCCCCTCTCCAGAGCCCAGATCAATCCGCTCCTATAGTAGCCATCTGCGTTTCTCCCCGCTAGGATTCTGGACATCTGTGTGGTTGTGGGAGAGGAAGAGAGCGAGCAAGGAAAAGCGTTAAGGAGAAACAGACCATCCATCCTTTGCCTGTGTCAATAACACTGCATATCAAATGTAGAACAGCATTCCCACAGGACCGAATGCAGAACGGGCACAGTTCAGTCCGTCCGTTCCTGCTGAATTCAGCCTCTGCTTCTAATACGAGCGTTTCGTTAACCAATCACAAGTAATATCCAGATATATGTAGAGATGCCATGCCTGTCTGACAAACTCCGGCTGAGACAGAATATTGAGTATGTTCTCTTTCATGTAAGGATAAACAGAGAGAGGGGTTTTATTTCACCCTGGAGGGTTTTAAAGTGATGGATCACACAAAAAAGAAATTTCTGTCGTCATTTACACACCCTCATGTTTTTCCAAACATGTATGAGTTTCTTTCTTCAATTGAACACAACAGAAGATATGTTGAAGAATGTCTGTATCCAGACAGTTGACAGTAGCCATTGACTTCCATAGTATTTCCTACTAAGTCAATGGCCACCATCAATTGCTTGATTACCAACAATCTTTAAAATATTGTGTTCAACAGAAGAAAGAAACTCATGCAGGTCTGCAACAGCTTGAGGGTGAGTAAATGATGACAAATTTTCATTTTTGGGGGATCTTTATATTTTCGGGGATATTCCTTTCAGTAATATCACACAAGCTGCTGTACTATGTATCAGCATGGATTGTTGCTTTTATACAGACACATTTCTGTATAATTCATTACATATGTTATTTGTTTAACATATAGGTATAAAACCATTCAAAAGTTTGGGATCAGTAATTTTTTGTTGTTGAAAGATATTAATACATTTATTGAACAAGTATGTATTAAACTGATCAAAAGTGACACATTTTTTTTATTGTTTTAAATAATGCCTATTTCAAGAATCCTGAAAACATCTATCACTATTTCAATTTTCAATCACTATTAAAATTCAAATTTTGTCTATATTTTTTATCAAATAAATGCATCCTTGATAAACATACATTTAACAACCCCAAATTTCTGTACTTTCAAAATAAATAAATACATAAATGGAGATGAAGACAGAGGGGAGTGATACAAGACATATGAAACTATAGCACAGCACTGTAAGACATCAATTCTCTGGGTCAACAATCTGTTCTAAAGGTAGCAAAACTGTATACAAAAACATTTAAAAGCAGAATACTGCAATTGACCAATCAGAATCAAGTATATCCAGAGAGCTGATTAATAATTTATACCAAGCATGCTTCATAGGTCAGTTAAAATACAAAACATTGCCAATTCAGAAAACCATAAACACTGGTGCATTAAAGAAAGTCATAATGTAAAAAAAGAAAGAAAGAAAAAAATTTTATGGATGAATAATTCACAAGATCAATAACATGACTAAGATGAATTTTCATTTCATTTTGACTTTAAACTGACCTTTAGAACCAATAATGTATCAGCAATAACTTTTTTAACCTCCAAAGGTTCAGAACGCTTTCTCCTGTCAAAGCAATTTGCAAAGACAACTTTAAATAATTATTTTAAATATATTTCATAATTCTAAATCAGTCTTTTTTTTTCAATATTGTTTGTTTAACTTAAAAAATGAAGTAACCTGGCTGCCTTCAAATTTTAAGTTCATTGAAATGGAAAAACTGAGTTAATACAATGAAGGAGATTGATTTAATCATCAAAAACTCAAAATATTATGTTACCTGAACCACGTTAATTATTTAAGTTCATTTGACAAAAGAAAAAAATGTTGTGATTACAAATCATGAACATTTTTTTTTTTTAAAGTGTAACGTCAAATGGGAGAGTATTTGAGAAAGCAGTTTGAAAACTAATTCTTCAATTCCACCTGTTGACTCTAGTGGTTAAAACATTCAATAAGAAATATTAACAGTCAAAAGTATAGTGCATATTCAGGAAATAAAAGAAAGCCACACTGTTTTCCTCTTGCCAGACTTCAGGGGAGGCCTGAGAGAACTTAAGAGGACATCCTGGAAAGAGACTTCATCTCATCTTTCTTTTTCTCTCCCCTGGCTCATTATTCTAACTCATCTAGTCTTTGCATCTCTACATCTGCCAAATATTCTTATTCTTAGCCTCCTTTTCCCGTCACTCTCTCTATCACTCCCGTTAGGTGAAGTTCTCCAAAGCCTCACTCTCCTGCCATTCTGGCTCAAGATCTGACGGCCACGTCTGGCAGTTTCACTATTCCCCAGCTCAAAGTGAGCGACTGGTGCATGAACTCTGAAGACAAGGCATTTTCCCCCCTAAAATCCTGCCTTGGCAAGACCACCACAAAAGGTAGTCATCTGATGATCCGTGAACACACAGATACACACACACTTTATCTGGGGATGCATCAACCTGAATAAGAGCTTAAAGTAAATAAGGTGTGAGTTTTTAAGAAGAAAGAAGGTTAACAAAAGTTTCTCCCTCTTTCTCAGTCTCTCTCTGCCCTGCAGACTGAGAAGTGAGCTGTCAACACTTTATATATCACAGCAAAGTCTGTCATACAATTTATTTATACACTGCAACATTTGTTTGTTTCCAAGAGATTTATGATGTTACAAATAAAACTCCAAAATAAGATGAAAACCAAAGAGCATTACAAAGCAAAACTAACAACTTTGGATTAAAAAAAAACATAGGAACTGTCCAGCTTGGAGCCGTGGCAAGTAATCAAACATGTTGAGCTGCGATGCGAGTTTAAGTTTGGCTATGGCTCGCTTTTTTCATCCCGTTTCCATTCATTATTTTTCTGTCCAGTCTCTACTATAGCCTATGCATCAACGAAATAATGTTGAGCAAAACTATGCATTTTAAAAACTTGCGTTCAAAACAAGCTAGACAAAGAGCAAAGGAAAGATTTCAAACTTGACAAACTGCTCCAAAAAACAAGGACTTATGTGGAAACATATGTGTGGAATGCATATATATATATATAGCATCTATGCATATATACAACATTTTTATATAGCATATATGCATATATATAGCTTTTTTATGTTTTAAGAATTTACACTTATCAAGTGATATTTTTGATAAGGCATTTCAATAATTGATTAACAGTAAAAAAGCTAATTTAAAAGAAAAATGTTATACTTAAACGGTGACACAACCCTAAAATAACAGTTGCTTAAAGCTACACTGTGTGATTTTTACCCCCATCTAGCGGTGAAAAGATATATGACCATCCAGTGAATATTAGTTTCTGTTCTTCTCAATTCCGATTTCGTTTTAACCCCTACGGTGGCCAATGTAGTCCAAGATTAACATGGCTTCCAGTTCGACCTCATCCATGAGTGTTAACTCAAACGTAAACGCGAAAGGCGAAGCTTGAATTAACGTGTATGTCCCTCTTTGGCTAATGTACTTTCAAGATGGAGGGGCAACATGGCGACCGACGTTAGAACCACTCACCCGTATGTATTTTCAATGGCATATTATACGCTCACGAGAATACTTTATTACTTGAACGAACTAAATACACATATATTTTTGAAAGAGTATTTTTAGCTAAGAATAAACTAAAAGAGTTACACAGTGTAGCTTTAAAGGACAAAAAATGTAAAAGAGAAGCATGTCCATCATAACACATATGACCTGTGTTGGTGTGTGGAAAACGAGTGGAAAACTAATAATACACAAAGTCTAAAGGGTATAAACCAGTTTTGGACTATGGTGAGGGTGTATAGTTATGCATCTCTGCATCTGTGAGTGTAGGTGTGTGTATGTGCATTGGAGGGATGGGAAATGTGTGTGTATGTGTGTGCATGCTGCTGCCACTGTGCTTTAGCTCTGCCTCTGGCTACCAGCCGCCCCAGGAGAGCGAG